GAGCCTAAGGGTTTAACAAAAAGACAACGATGCCGTTATATAGGAAATGAGAATGTGTGTATCTATGAGGGTGGCAAGTGTTCATCGTTTAATTTCGATTTTTTTCTACGTTGTAGTTTTTCGTTATTGTAAATTAGATACTGTTGATTTGTATAAATAAACTTCCTATCCTATGAGCACAAGCAATAAATAACAGCAGTATTATTACGGGTAAGGCCTAATAAAAAATAAATGAAAATGGATAGGCCCTATTTTAAACGCGTTCTTTTACACAGTATTTTCGTGATGATTCATGAGGGCGCACTCTAACCCTAAACTTATAATATATAGAATTCTACTAAACAAATTCGAGTTATAGCTGGTAAAATGCTTTAATTTAAAGCCAGGCTTTGCGGGGTAACCTCTCTTTTTTCAAATTTTCCGGTTTTTAAATATTTAAATATATATATATATATATTAATATAACGTTAATAAAAATAAACGTGTTTCTCATTACCATTTTAGGGGATATCCTTCAGGACCAAATATGAGGAATGGAAACCCCCGTCCCAACCATCTTCCTCTGGCGCTTCCCCAAACCCCCGCATAGAAAACCCTGGATCCAATCCTAAGGAAAGAAATATAGAAAAGAATGTTCATCCGCCACTTAATAGAGAATCGTGTCATGCTTCTTGGTCAAGTTAAAATCACTTTTTTTTTTAAATAACTTTATATAAAGGCCAACTCAGACAGCGTCGGCCGACGCAGCCCGACCCGATTTATCGTCGGGGACAGTCTTAAGCCGTCGTGAGAAATATTAAACACGTTAAATATTCTACTACGCGACTGCCCCCGACGCACACCATCGCGTCTGCGTTCAACTCACACAGACCCGACGTGACAACAAATCGCGTCGGGCTGCGTCGTCTGACGCTGTCTGAGTTGGGCTTAACTTGTTTGACTAAAGAAAAGCTAATTTCGAATACTGTATGTCTTTCCATTACACTTCACAGATTAAATCACTACGATACGATGATGTATTGTTGTCTTGTTATGTCATTATAGGGATATTTCTTTTGAATCTAGGTACTGTAGGCCTATACACATCAGGAGACTTCAGAAATTTGCCGACAGGGGATCCAAACCAATGGTCCCGGAATAAATCCCTGGTAGATTCATTGGGAGAGTTTGTATGGCTTAGTATGGCCCAAAATTATGCTTTTAGACCACAATACAAATTGGCAATCAAAATAACGTTACTCTATTTTGATAAGCAAATTATTTTCAGGCACAGGGCGGAGGTATGCACACTATATGGAGTGACTGCTCTAGTTATTTCAGATTCTGTATTATGTTGAATCTTGTCTCTAGATGTGTTGCTATGAAACTGACAAACATCAAGCCTGTTTTCAACTAGGCCAATATATTCGCCCGAATTAAAGGCGTTGGTTCACTTCCTGAGCTGATTGGTTGTGCATTTTTTTGCTTCCCAAAAAGTAACAACAGTTCCAACTACTGATTTTGCTGAAGCGAAAAACTCCGATAGAAATGTGAATGTGCACGAACCGACACTTTGGATTCCCACAAATAGATTCGCCTGGAGGAAAACAGACTTCAGGCGTAGACATCAGCTAAAATAGATCTTCTATAAATAATTACTGTACCATTATTAAATGAACTTAAATTTAAATAAATATTATTGGACAACATACAACACAAAAAAAATACATAAAAACCCAATGTTGGTTCAAATTGTTTTATTGAGTACTGTATTTTGTTATTCATTATCAATATTTATTATTATAAATATTTATAATAATAAATATTCATTATCAATATTTATTATTATAAATGAAATGAAATATCACCATCTATGATGAAGTATAATAAAGTAGGGACCCAGTGCATAGTGAATGAAGTTGAATTGTTATGCGTTAATACAACTAGTATATAGTACTGGCTGAAGATCCTTTTGGAGAAACAAGACTGAAGTAAAGGGTCAGAGTCTTTGAACACGACCCCCACCCCTTTCCCCTACTCATTTTGACTATAATAATCACTCCCCTTCTCAAAGCTCTCCTTACTGTTATTGCTATACTTAATAAGTAGCGAATCCAGGAATTCAAAATAGAGGGACTCTCACAGATGGAGGGGAATACCACTTCGGCCGCCCATGGTTTGGGCTGAGGTAAGATAATTATGATTTTGGCTAGATGGCCGGAAATGGCACTCTTAGACTTAAATTTAAATATAATTTTGTTTTGTTTTGTTCTTTTTTTTTTTGAGAAAACAGAGGGAGGCTCAGCCTGGTTGGGCCCCCTTCAACCTGCCACTAATAATTTTCACAAACAAGTCGTATTTCAGTGAAAATCACCAAACTTAACTTTCAGGAATGATATTTTGACCAAAATTTTTTCACTGGTCCTAAATTGGTCATAAGGCAACTGACGGACTCTTTGGATAATGACTGTTGAATACTATTCACGTTCAGGAAAATATCTGGAGAAAAAAAAATCAACAACATAAACTATCAAATATTTATTTTAAATAATTTTTAAGAGAAAAATTTATTATTAATGGAAGGGGCACTACACTGGTGTATCTAGGAGTCCTGAAATGGGGGATGCGCAGGTGGAGTTTGGAGCTCAATGATTAAGTAAGGGGGGCGCTAGGTTGCAAAATAAGGTTATATGAGGTTTTTAACTACTTGAGCGTGATTTTTTTTCCTTCAAATATTTTCAATTGGAAGGGGGAAGGGGGGCAATTGGGAATGCGAGCATTTTTGGAAGGAAGTGCGCCCCTGTGAACCCTCTAGGTAGACCAGTGACTGACTATGCACCCTGTTAACAAAAATGTTACGTACCATTGCATTCAATATCATGAAAGAAAATAGGAAGAGTGGTGATCATGTTAAAAAAAAAAAACAAAACCAATATATAATGTAATGCTAATTATGAATGAGTATGATAAAATGTCTATATATGGTCATGTGATGTCATCATGACCATATTTAGGCATATTCGCATAGATTGAAGATGATCACGCCATTCATATGGAGCAGTGGTCTTCAATGTTTTTCTCCTCTATCTCGTGTTTAATTTAATAATTTTGAATTTTGTTTTAGCCAGAAGAAATTAATTTAATATTCATAAATTACGGTACTCACCAGGCATCCTTAGTGTCTTCCACCTTCCGAAGTTGAATTGCAAATATAAAATAAACAAAACACAAGAGGGCGCACAATGCCACAAGTACAAGAAAAGCTTCCTAAAAGAAAAGAAAATGGTAAAATTTCAACATGAAAGTTGACAGCAGTTTGAGATGTGTGTATTTTGTTTATCACTCCTTTCAGATTTTTAACTTTAAGCAAAATCAGGATAAAGCTCTGATCAAATTTCCTTTGACAAATAACTATTGTAGGCCCATATATAATCATGATGTGCCTATATATGGTCATGATGTGATGTCATCATGACCATATTTAGGCATATCATATGTTTTTGTCAAATAAAATTTGATAGTCTGGACAGGGCTTAAAGCCTCGTTCAGACTGTACTAATTTTGTCAAACTGAACAGGTACCCCCCCACCAACCAAAAAAAAAAAACCTAGTCTGAACGTCCTGTCTTGCATTCTTATTGGTTAAATGACTTAAGTCAATCGGTTAATTTTTACTGAACGAACATTGCTCTAATGTTTGTCCACACACTATCACATTTTTTTGCGACATATTTGTGTGGTGTGCCCATATATGGGCATGATGATGTCATATTACACCCAAATATGGGTATATCACATGTATTTGTCACATAAAATTTGATAGTGTGGATGCAGCTTAAGAAAGAATAGCCAGGTTGTTTTTCCAGATAAGAAAAATCCAATGTAAAACAGCACAACTCAATAGTCATAATATAAAGCACTTTGTATTCTTATGGAGCTAAGGCCTGTCACTAAGTGGTAACTTCAGCTCTAGGGGCTTCACTGGCTGAACCCCTAACAGGAACTCGTCCCCTGAACACCTGGCACTCATTATGGTCTAAAGCTTTGCAATCAATTCTACCCTGTACATACACTTATACGACTTCTGGATGCTCCACTTTTCCTCTGTTGTGCCTTCTTCTTAGCCACTTTCATGTCTTTCTTGCTCCGTTTATTTTCTTGCTTTCCAATATTTTTACGGTAGTTTTCTACTGGACCTATACCATGAACATCTTTTTTCCCCATATTGTAACTTGTAGTAGAGTACGCTGATGAGATTTTCTGTCATTACTGTAATACTGATCTGGAGGAAGGAATATGCATGTGTAATTAGTAATAAATATGTTGAAACTTCACGATGTGAGATTGCATCAGGAAATATCATAAGAATATGGCTCTGCACTTTTTTCTTAGCGATTTTCTGCGCAAATTTGCGTTGATTTTTGAGATATCCTCAGCGCAAATGAAATACTTTACAGTGGAGCTTGAGTATTTTATTTAGCTAAGACAACAGGCCAAAGTATTTACCTAAATAATGGTCGATCATATAATTTAATGCTTTTCAGACCTTATACTTATTTTCAAAATTGTTTTTGGCTGTCGTGAAATCAAACAGTAAACATTATAACTCAATGCCTTAGTACTTTAGTAATAGGCTAGGCATATGCCCTAGGCCTTTCCATTTTTTTTTTGTTTGATGTAGGCTTTATTTATTTATATATTCGACTTCACTCAGGCTAATACACAATAAAATAACAATGAAATAAAGTTGCTGGTGATGGGAAATGGCCAACAGGTGAACAATTGCACCTCTGAAAGAGGCCGATCCAAAATTGCTAAGGGACCCAGAATATTAAATCCAGTTTAATCAGGCTTAATATTACTTTTTTTTAAATTTTCTTGTGATTAGGAATTCACTAGGACTAGATACCAACGTCATCCGAGCATTTGTGAATTCTGACCTGGTGGGAATTGTGGGAAGCAGGTCAAAACGGCAAGTAATGATAAGTACCAAAACGGCAATAAGCATAGACCAAAAGGCAAAGGAGCAAAATCAATGAGCACTAGCAAATGCCGCCGGGCGTGGACAAGTTTATAATTTTTCCGAATCTATAGGCAAATTGAATACTGGGCTCTTTTCCCCGCTTTTAATGTTTAATCGTGCTTTTATTTTTTTTAATTTTTTTTTTTTATGGATGACAAGTTGATGCCTCATTGTGTCTGTATTTTTAAAGTTTTATTTATTTGAATGTTTACTGCTTTTATATTGTCTTTCCCCAATCCTTATATTATTGAATTTGTAGGCTTATGTTGTTATATTATTATTATTATTATTATTATTGTTGTTGTTGTTGTTGTTTTTTCACATTTTTTATTTTTATGACAAATTGTTCTAGCATAATTTTGTCTGTATTGTTTTATTTATTTGAATGTTTACTGCTTTTATATTGCATTTCCCCGAATCTTTTTATTATTGAATCTGTTTGTTGTTGTTGTTGTTGAAAACAAGGTAAAAAATAAACTAAATCGGACCAACACGATTTACGATCATATCGTGTAAATTCTTTTTTAACTGTTACACCAAAGGGTTTACTGGGCGAGAAGAGCGAAAATAACATACTAATTTTTGGGCTGTATACTCAATTGCACACACAACGAATGAAAAATTATTATATAGAAAGAGATGAGACATTTATCTATCATTTGATTAAAAACAAATGCGAACAACCCAAAAAAATACAGGTTATAACTACTAAGTAGATGCCGGACCGATTTTTGCTTACGTGGACTACATTTGGCAGGTAATTTTAAAAGGACCAAATTATTTTCCTGACAGGCCTAGGCCTATCTTATACAATACAAAATACAGTCAAACATGTTCAGTGATAGATTGCATGCCTTAAATGTTCTATACCAGGAGTGTTAACTTAAACTGTCAACTCAAGTCACCTGCTGAGCAGGGAGTGTACACAGAGGGCTGATTAGTGTCAATGAGTAGGTAAGCCAGGCTCAGCATGCATGTTGGTGGGGTGATCGGGCGGCTAGGGTATACGTAGGGCCTTAGTAGTGTGTAGTAGTAGTAGTAGAGTAGGCCCAGAGAGGCTAGCAAGCAACAATGCGATTCTATTTCTATCTAGGCCTATGTGGGCTACACCAAGAAGCGGTGATATGAATACTGTACCTTAGTCCGATTTCGATTATAAACTGACGATGCATTAAACAATTAAAATAGCTTTACTGTGTTCAAAGTCAGCAAACTAGGCCTACCCAACTTCAGAACCCATCAAGTCAAAACAAACAACATTCTTTGACAACAACATGTACGAGAGTATGACGTTGCAACGGTAACATGCAGGTGTACGAGTACATGTCAGCAGTTTAAGCGAAAACAGAACCGATTTTGCTGATACCCATCTAGGCGATATCAATGGTGCGTAAACAGTTTTGGACTGTTGCGCGTTCAAAAAAAAAAAAGAAAAAAAAAAAACTTGCATTTCTTCCGGTACATTATGAAATATAATTGTACATGTTTAAGTAAACCTGGCATTTTGCTGACCACTTGTATATTGTTTACGTAAATTATTAACTTATATATTAATTATATATACTAATTAAGTTGGAGGGCGCATAATTAAGTCAGGGGCGCTACACTGCATTGGCGAAATAGGGCCTACAATGAAGTGATTTTCAATCCCGGGCTCTCGAGGATTTTTTTTCTTTTTTTAAAAATATGTGTAGGCCTACACCTGACTTTCGAAGACACAAAAAAGCATATTTGATAAAAACAGGAGCAGGTAATGACATACGTATTTTTGAATATTTAAGAACTGGGGCGGGGGAAGGTGAAACGGGGTGGTTTTACGCCCCTTTTTACCACCATTATAAATATTCAAAAATCTGTATCTTAAACCGTAGTAACTTTTCGTCTAAATAAGCTTTCTGTGTCAAAATCAGTTATGAAGTCTGCAACATATCAATAATTCGTTTTTCTCCGGAGCCTGGCCTTAACTAAAGCATATTTTTTTTAAAGGAAAATATTTTAGAGTTTTTTTGGGTTGTTCCACTCCTAAATTCAGCTCAACCATCCAGGTCGGGTTTACCACTGCAATCATCATGAGTAGATTTCCCGCACGATTCAAAAATCGTAACGGTAGTGGGTTTGGTCACTCCTTGTTTCATCTAGTCTACAGAAGTTGTTTGCTTCGAAAGGTCTTCAGTGACCATTCTTAGAACCTTTTGATGGAGTACCGTACTCCACAGTTTGCATCGAAACTTATTCCGGCTATATAAAATTGATTAGAATAGAATATATTTAAACTGAAATAAAATTTAAAAAAATAAAAGAATTATCATTATAATTTACTATATTTTTTACTAACTTGTTTGTATTAAATTTTGTGCACAATCGTAAGATGCCAAGGTGCATAAGCCTATCACGTTTCATAATTCGACTTCTTTGCTTTTCTTCCTTCTTCCTGTCTTTTTTGCAGACTTTGATAAACAAGAATATAACTATAACACTTATTGCTTTATATAAATATTATTAAATATGATATTAAATGATTATATTCCTTTATGTATTTTTCAAATAAATACTTATACAATTATAGTTAATTAAATGTGAATTCTAAATGTAAATTTACGTAGGTTAGAATAATAATAATAATAATAATAATAATAATAATAATAATAATAATAACAATAATAATAATAATAATAATAATAATAATAATAATAATAATAATAATAATAATAATAATAATAATAATAATAACAATAAGGACACAGTAGTCCTTATCTATTCATTAAAGATGTATTGTCCCATGTTAAATATACCAAAAAAATCATAAAAATATTTTTCCAAATTAACTTGCCCATTTGAAGTAACATAAAAGTTATCAACTTGAACATAGAATTAGTGTATTTAAAAAATGTCTACCCATCAGTTCACAGCTAAAAATGATAGACACTTCCAGTCACTGGAAGTGTTTTATTACTTATTTATTATAATTTTTTGGTTTAAAAATCAGGGTACACATTTTTTAAATTCAATAATTTTTATGCACAAGTTAATAATTTGTATGCTATTGCAATATGAGCAAGTTTATTTCAAAATTATTTTTTATGATTTTTTGACATTAGCAAGGGACAATACATCTTTAATGAGAATAAAAATTTTCAATCTTCTCATCAATTTATAAGATTTATATTGTTTTGGGGTTTACCAAGGTTTACACTCAAGCATTTTACTGAACGTAAAATGTAGAGGGCGCTCAAAATAATGTTATGTTGTATGGATCCTGGATAGGCAGACGTTGGTAATGCTTTGAATTGTCCCTTTAGTGTGCATTAAAGAAATACCGGGTCAGAGGTAGGCCTATGTATTATATTTTTTTATAATCTACTGGAGTGATGAACTCTTATTTTAATAAATTTGGATACGGTTTCACAGTCTGTTAGACCTGTGTGCCAACCTCCACCAGCACTTAGCGACGTTGAGGTCTGTGATGTTGTACACCGACGGTGATGGACCGGGTTCTCCCCGCGTGCCGTAACGATTATACTTTAATTCAACGTTAGGCCTAGCCTTAGAATAGGCCTAGCCTATTAACTAGGCTAGAATAGGCTTTTTTTTAATGCATATACCTATTTTAATACACTACTGAGATAGGCTTTTATTTTTCAATATTGATTTCAGAGGTCAAAAAAATTTTTCAATTTTTTTTCAATCATATAGTGGTGTAGGCCTAGGCCTAGACTAGTCTTTTAAGAACATTTTGCTGGAAAATTTTTGGGGATACGACGCCCCATTATAGAGTTATGATTTTTTGAATAACATGATGTCAAAAAATCCGCCCAAAAGCTTATCTTATTTCTGTTGGTTACGCACCGCTGATTCGCAATGTTTGTCATCACTTCAAGATGTCTACCGATTTGTGAAAAAGGCGTATAATACCCACATCCAAATAAGTTGTAAGTTGTTGTACGCATAATAGGACTCTTACCTAAATCTTCTGAAATTTTTATGATTTGCAAATATAACCTACTATAGTACTACTGCATAGATATAGATAGGCCCTAGGCAGGACGGAAGCAGGTCAACTCGGCCACAAGTCAACTCGGCTACAAGTCAACTCGGCCACAAGTCAACTCGGCCACAAGTCAACTCGGCCACAAATCAACTCGGCCACAAAAAGTTTGGCTGCAGTCAACTCGGCCACAAGTCAACTTGGCCACAATTAGTATTATTGCTGTTATTATTGGTGTCATTGTTGTTTTTATTACCGTTAGTTTTAATATTAATTATTAGTCTTAGCATTAACATTATGTATTGTTTAAATTTTTGCTGATATTATTATTGTTAACATATAAATAATAAAAAATTCTTGCAGGATTAAAAGTGTAAGCTGTAAGCTGATTAATTTCTTATGCTCATGTTATCTGCTTGTTTTTTAGTCTGAAATATAGCCCCATCATACTC